TTGTGCAATTATGTGACCTTGTTAAAATATAATTTAATATGAATCCATATTCGTGAGGAATAAAGAAGAAATCTGTGTAAGATGGACATTCTCAGGTCTTTTGAGAGCATCCTACTTAGCACATACCTATGGGATAAACTATGGGACCTTATTCTCCAGAAGTAGAATCAATAGGGGAAATCCTCATTTCAGGCATAGACACCTACTTAAATAGCTTCCTCTTCTTAGAGAGAGATCTAAACTCAAGGGGAATATGAAGTAGAATTTGCCACTCATGGAGTAGAGGACATGGAAATTTCTTATATTTGGTTCCATGATCATAAACTGGTGTAAAAGATTGATCTAGAAGACTAATACATGCCATGGAAAATTGCCTTCTTGTAACCCTTGCCATAATTTCTCTAGAAATTTAATAAGTCAAATAAATACTTAAGAAAATCTATTTGCACAGATATACATTGAATGCCGTATTATTTTTATTGATGCAAATTGCTTGAGAAAAATCAAGAATCCTTTTAAAATGTTGAAAAATGTTTCATTTCATTTTCTTCTCCGTGTTAGGCTGTGGGTTTGACTGGAGAGCCCTTTCTGAGTGACCTCTCCAACCGTATCCTTCTCTACAGCTATGAACTCTGTACAGGTCTCCTTAAAATTCATATTTTATTGATGAAAGATTAAATACCTCATAAAGTATTCATTTTTGCATTGATTCAGACACGCTATTTATATTTTAAATCAATCTAGATTTGAAACAGTAGAAAATTTCCTGAATGTTTTGTTGAACCTTTGCTATAGTGTAGAGGTCTATATGATGTTCAGGATAGACAGCTGTGGAAAAAGGCAATTATATGTTCCAAATTATAATCAGATTATAACTCTAGAGCTAGATAATAAGACACTGAAAATATGAGTACACAAAACAATTCAGTAGTTCTTTAAAGAGGTTAAAGGTTTATAAAAGTAATAATCATGGTACTAGAGATTTACAGAGAACATCCCTCTGCCTCCTTGTCTTTAGACCCTGTTCTATCCTGCTGCTTGAGGCATTGCCTTCCATGAGAACAGAAATTGATAATGGTGTGGAAATGCCTATTTGTTGACAGATTAATTTCTAGCTAGCAGTGATATTGAGAGATATGGATCATGAGGGTGTTGCTGTCATCAATGGGATAATCCACTGAGGAGGTCTAAGATGAATAGGTTATTCAGATTTGGAGCGTGGCAGGAGGCAGCAGATAACTTGAGGTGTACCTTTGAAGGGTGGCCCTTGTTCTTGAACATTTCTTCTTGTTCTTTCTCTTTTGGATGAACCATGCTTCTGGACCAGCCTGAGGTGAGAAACTAATTCACTTGACCCTCTATCATGATGCTCTCTCCCCACAGGCCCATAGTAAGGAGCCAAAGTGACCATAGATGGACACCACCGAAATTCTGAGCCCAAATAAATTTTCCCAGAATCTCTTAATGTCAGGTATTTTTGTCACAGTACAAACAACATAGACATTGGCATCTAGCCAAATCTTCAGAGCTCCTAGGCTTATATACAATAATAAAACATTAAAAAGCAATGGGAAAATTGATTTGTGAACTTTTACTTATCTTCCAAGGTCATTAAAACTGGGTTTAAAACATTTTGTGGCTTTATCAGAGCCTACTATAATGTTATTATAAAAAATGACCAGTTATATTTTATTGATGGTTATTCTGTAGTTTCAGAAATACTGCGACAAATGGTTATTTTTGAGACGATATCTACAAATGTATTCATGTTTATTAATTTTAAACAGTTATGTCCAATGTTATAAAAAACAGAGGTTTCCAGATAGACAATGATTATAAAGCTTTTAGTTTTCATTATATTAGGAGACAATGTAAATGCTAGACTTTAAATTATATTTGATGAATATGGACTCACTGAAATACTGCAAAAGACAGCAATATTTTTCTTAATATAGTTGTATATAACATAGTGCTCAACTTGAAACATCATGAGTTCACGAAAGTCAGTGAATGTTCAAGAAATATCATAAGTTGAAAAGTAAAGAAGAAATCTGATAAAATATGTGATTAAAGATTTATAAATACAAGTTTGGAATTTTTGTGGTACTTTAATCTTATGGAAAATATGGCTGTGCTTAAATTCCTACAAACTATGAAAAAACTTGAACAAAATTGATAATGAGGTCCGTTGCTAATCATTATACACTTTTCTAAAAGGTTATAATGTTTACTTTCAAATAAAGTCTACTAGAGTGACACTAGCACAGCCCAACACTATATAAAACACTATACTATAAGCATCTATTTTGAGAGCCAAGATAAACTAGTTACAACAGCTTCCAACCAACTTCTTTATTGAATCAACATTTTTAGTAGTCATCAATCATACATCTATGAAAGATCTTTAAAAATGTATGCAAAGTTACTATGGTGATTTCTTGGAAACAAAATAAATAAATAAACAAAAAGGTAAGATGGAAACATAGCTCTATTCTTTTAAGGTACAGGCAGTCAGTGGCTGCGAAAGACAGAATCACTTTTCTTCAAGAATGAGCTCCCTGATAGGTTATTGAATCCTAACTACCCAGCACTTAACACATAAGCACATGTATATATAAGTACTGCTAAATGGACTCAGTAAGTTGTTTCTATATATCACCAATAATTAAAGAAGAGGTCATGAAGTTGAAGGAGGCTTGGGGAAAGCTAGAATGGGGGGATTGAGGGGTAGAATTATAATTAGAGTACTCATGTATCAAAGCCTCAAAAAATATAAACAGATTAAAAAGAGAGAAAATAATAATGCTTCTAATTGACACTTTCAACATGCAATCTAGAGCCTTAGAAACAGGTTTTGCATTCATAATAAAATATAAACCGAGAGATGAGAAGCCAGTGATTTTAAATAAGGCAACTTGGTCCAGTAACTTGTATACATTATTTACAATTATTTATATGTATAAGAAGTTCCTAGAAATCAATAAATATTTTAATGTTGAGGATTTTCTATCAACTTCACAAAGCATAAAATGAAAATGTTCAGTAGAAAATAACTTCTTTTTATCCTTAGCACCTTTTATTGAAGTATGGCCCTTGATTACAATATGGCATGTGTATCAATGTCGATCAGGAGGGGAGTGGTGGAGGACACAACTACAGAAACAGTAAGATGAAGAAGAAAACATAACTTTAATGAAATAGAGATGCAAAAAATTAAAATGAGGTTCCATGATATGAAATTGTGAGATAAAGAAAGGTAAATTCCTTACTGTTAATGAGAGTGCAAACAGTTCAACATTATTTTCCCTTTGTATATAAATAAATAATAATTAGCAAACTATTTAAGAATGAGGTCAGTTTTGTGTGCTATTATTACTAAAAAAATTGAGGAACACAATAAAGTTAACAATATAAAAGAAAATCCTATTGAATAGTCACATATACGTAGAAACAGAAAGATGCTATGATTCTTCGTTAATTGTAAACTAATTTACAATATAACATCCACTTTATTTTTATGGAACAAATATTGGACAGGGTGTGTTTCTGCAAAGTCCAGGTCACTGGATTATGTGACCTTTATTTTCTAAATATTTTTCAGTGTTTTAGATTTCTTTGATCTTTTTAATGACAGCATGCTTCATTTTCATACCTTCGCATTTATTTTTGTGGTTGTAGAAGTGATGTGCAACTTTCAAAAACAAGTTAAAAACACCCAATCATTGATGCCAATTATGCATGTTCCTTAACTCTTTGTCTGTAGACTGTGAGCACTAAGACTGTTTTAGACTTATTTTCACATAACTTCATCCCTTTCTTTCTGATAGCCACTATGTGTTACTGTACCTCAAAGATACAGATGTGAAAGTGCTTCATTTACTAAAATGATATTGTTACCATCTTAAAGGCTAATATTTTAGTTAGAATAATGCTGACTTTAAATTCAAAGAATTTTACATTTGTTGTTTAATATTTATGGCTTGATGAAAGAATAAGAAACTACTGACAACCACCATATATACTTTTATACATTCAACAGACTTTAAAGGCTTAAAGCAAAATGGACTTTGCAGCAATATGATATAGGTTAGCAGACAGGAGATCTTATAACTCATTATTATCTTTTAATTTCTTTGAAGTAACCTATAAACAGCCTGTAAATTTTCTTGGATTCTTTAAAATAAATACATGAATAAATAATCAATAAATAAAATTTTATCCCTTAGGGAAAGCTTTCAAACATCAGTAAACAATTTTTGTAGTATATAGGAAAATAGCACGAAATATAAAAATATTAGAGTATTTTCTCCAGAGCACATGATTCAAGTAAAAATGCATAAAACATGGTAAGAAATGCATTTGCCTGAGTTGGTGCCATAGACCATAGTAATTCTTAGTTTGAAATAATGTGTGGGAATTCCTGAATTTCTGAATGACATGATTCTATCCAAGTACCTTATATTTCTCTAAATTATATTCCTGCTATGCAAGATTTCCTTAAACATATTCAATTTTAGTGGTTTACTTTGAACGTACCACCCACAAATTTTCCCCCTTAATAAATCAAACTTAACAACACAGAGAGTTTAATATTAGAGACCTTTCGATTTCAAATGGTATCTACTTTTCCACTCAGCTGCAGCTTTTCACAATTTCATTCATTTTTTCTTCATTTAATTTTCTGCAAATATAATATTTTGAAACCCTTGTTATTCGACACATCTGATCATTCACAAGTTAGGCTACTTTTCATTTGCATCACTAGACTAATTAGAGTAAGGAATAATATATCTGGCTTTTAATCAATGAGTAAATATTCAAAAACTACATTTAACCCTTGTACAATTCATCAAAGTAGAGCAAATCCATGTGTGCAGTTCTAGGACTGTTTCAATTTCACACTAATAAACATGGAAAGCAATCAGTGATAAGCATTTAAAATGCCATCGTGATAGATCTTGAAGGATGTAATGTAAATTCATCTCCTATCGCCAACTTACCCAAGACTGTGAGCTCTGCAGAGGCACTAATATTCTCATTCTTGTATGTGACAACACAAGTGTAGGTTCCACTGTCATCATCTGTCACATTAGAGATGAGCAAGTTGCTTCCGCCCAACAAAGAATATTTTTTAGACCTGCAGTTGAATGCAATAAGATGGTCAGTTAGCTGATGTGAGCACTAGGCAAGAAACTCAGAAGTGCTAATGAGTTTCACAAAGTTCCCATTATGAAAATTGGAGAAAATAGGAACCCTATATCACAAAGGCTTTATAATATCTTGCTTATTGAACAAATTAAATCCAAGGTAAACTACAATTAGGAGAATGGAGTAATCCAAAATGAAGCAGATTGTGCATAGTACTAATTTTATAATGGTGATAATTTAGCAAATCATAGGCTGGAGAGATGGTTCAGCAGTTAAGAACACTATCTGCTCTTGCAGAGGACCTGGGTTCTAGTCCCAGCACCCACATGGCAGGTAACAAGTGATCATAACTCCAGTTCCAAGGGATTCAACTCCCTCTTCTGGCCTCAGCAGATATGGGTGCACTTACAAATTCTCTTATCTTAAATTTGAGGTCCTCAATCCAAAGCCATGGTTCTCCAAATGGAAACCAATGTCTCCTGCACTGAACTCCAACTCAGTGACCATTTACAAAGCCACATTTCAACTGAAACAAAAATGTCTGGTTTTATGCAGAGAACTTCACATCACACTGAGGCTGTAAACAGGTTTCTTTTATGTTTTTGTGATCTCACAAATGCTGCAATGGCTAATTATGTATTGTTATTTAAATATTTATTTAACTTGGAATAAATTTAAATAATTTATGATCCA